GGATGGCCTTCGTGAAGCCATCTTCAACACTTGGAGCAACGTTCCCACTAGCCTCCTGGAAACACTGGCATCAAGCATGCCTAAACCATTGTTTGAAGTCATCAACAAGAATGGTGGAGCTACTGAGTCCTTTTTTTGACACTTTGATTTCTGTTTTGGGGGGGTTCCGGGGGTTTTTGAGCTATGGTCTTAAACTTTTGATCAGCTGAAAAAAAATCATGTTTGAGTGTAAATGCAGTTTTCAGACAATTCCCTGCTCAAAAGTTCTTGTCTCTTACGTTGATTTCTTCTTTTAACATTGTGAAGCTCTACTTAGAATCTTCTTAAGATCCAAAAGTGCAAAATTCAAATTCTTGCACTTTTTTGACTGGTCTTAAGATTTTGATCAGGAGTGTATATTGTATGTTAGCCCTATATCGACTTTGCACTCATTTTTATTAAGGTTTGTCCAGTTGTGCATCCACATTATTAAACTGCGATCTGTCAATTAAAGTAAGCTTGTTTGTTCATGTGAATGTTTGCTAATAACTGATGCAATTTTACAGCAAAACGGTATGAAGGTGACCATCGTTTGGCTCCAAAATACAGAGATGGCATTCTGGAGGACGCTACTATTCAAAGACTGACCACCACCACCCATAATAAAGATACCGCATGGGTGAAATTCACAAAACATGCAAAAGAGAAAGAAGAAGAAGAAGGCGAGGAAGCCATACCTGTTCAAAAACTTGTGAGACCAGGATTGGACCAATTTACCCAGGAGAAACCAGTGTTTCCTGGCAGCACCACTGACCTCAGTCTCTGCATCCCTTTGGAGCTGAGTGATGAAGACAGAGTCCCTTATACTATCAACAGATACTTAAGGGATTACCAGAGGGAAGGCATCAGGTTCATTTACAATAACTACATCCGTTCCACTGGTTGTATCCTGGGAGATGACATGGGTCTTGGAAAAACTGTACAGGTACACAACATGAGCTGCAAAATTATGTCAAGTTTTGTCAAAATAAGGGTCTGTTCTTTATGTGGTCTCTCTTGCTTTTGATCTCTTCACCTTTGTATCATAGATCATAGGTTTTCTTGCTGCTGTGTTGCACAAAACGGGCACGTGGGAGGACGTGGAGAAGAACCGACCTCAGTTTCTGCAGTCTCAGATATCCTCCAAGCAAAGTAATCCGAGCAAAGTGGGTGTTGAAATCGGCCACTAGCCTAGATATTTCTTCAAATGCCTGCTGGATTTGGTCGTGTGCTGCAGGTTCAGAGTATTGTTTTGTCATCAGCCAAACTGAAGTGTTTTCATGGTCTGGTCCAGGTGTTTCTCATTGTGGCTCCTCTGTCAGTGCTGTACAACTGGAAAGATGAACTGGACACATGGGGTTACTTCCAGTGTGTGGTCATCCACGGACTGAAGAAAGAGGAGGAACTGGCTCGCATCAAGAACGGTCGCATTGAGATTGCTCTCACCACCTATGAGACGCTGCGGCTCTGTTTGGATCAGTTCAACAAGTAATAATTACAGAACACACCTTACTATGAAAAGTAAAGCAACAATGAGCTAAGAAGAGATGAGAAAATGTGCACAGCCTGGAGAATTACTTTAAATCCCTTGATCAGTTAGTGTCTTAACAAGCTGTCATAGAAATTTAAGTTTCAAAGGAAAAACATAAAAGACTAATGTTTATGCTGTCAGAATTTTGCAGCTACGTTAAAAGAAACATAACAACCTTAAACTTACATTTGGATATACAGCGGGTAAAATAAGTATTGAACACGTCAGCATTTTTCTCAGTAAATATATTACTAGAGGTGCTAATGACATGAAATTTTCACCAGATGTCGGTAACAACCCAAGTGATCCAAACATACAAAGAAATCAAACCATAAATGTCCAGAAATGAAGTTATTTGTAATAATGTGGAATGGCACAGGGAAAAAGTATTGAACACACTTACTGAAATTTATCTAATACTTTGTACAAAAGCCTTTGTTGTCAATGACAGCTTCAAGACGCCTCCTGTATGGAGAAACTAGTGGCATGCATTGCTCAGGTGTGATTTTGGCCCATTCTTCCACACAAACAGTCTTCAAATCTTGAAGGTTTCGTGGACCTCTTCTATGAACTCTGATCTTTAGTTCTTTCCATAGATTTTCTGTTGGATTCAGGTCAGGTGATTGGCTGGGCCATTCCAGCAGCTTTAGTTTCTTCCTCTGAAACCAACTGAGAGTTTCCTTGGCTTTGTGTTTGGGCTCATTGTCTTGCTGAAATGTCCAGCCACGTTTCATCTTCATCATCCTGGTAGATGGAAGCAGATTTTTATCAAGAATGTCTCTGTACATTTTTCCACTCATCCTTCCTTCAATTATTTGAAGTTTGCCAGTACCATGTGCTGAAAAACAGCCCCACACCATGATGTTCCCACCTCCAAACTTCACTGTTGGTATGGTGTTTTTGGGCTGATGTGCAGTGCCATTTGACCTCCAAACATGATGTGTATTCTGGCATCCAAACAGTTCAATGTTGGTCTCATCTGACCAGACTATATTCTCCCAGTATTACACAGGCTTGTTTAAATGTTGTGCAGCAAACTTTAAAGGAGCTTCAACATGCTGTTTCTTCAGCAGTGGAGTCTTGCGTGGTGAGTGTGCATACAGGCCATGGTGGTTCAGTGCATTACTTATTGTTTTCTTTGAAACAAATGTACCTGCTAATTCCAGGTCTTTCTGAAGCTCTCCACAAGTGGTCCTTGGCTCTTGGACAACTCTTCTGATAATTCTTTTCACTCCTCTGTCAGAAATCTTGTGAGGAGCACCTGGTCGTGGTCGGTTTATGGTGAAATAATGTTCTTTCCACTTCTGAATTATGGCCCCAACAGTGCTCACTGGAACCTTCAGAAGTTTAGACATTCTTCTGTAACCGATGCCATCATTGTGCTTTGCAACAATAAGGTTGTGAAGGTCTTGAGAGAGCTCTTTACTTTTACCCATCATCAGATGGTTCTTGTGTGATACCTGGCCATCATTTGGGACTGAACCAGCTGATATTAACTTGCACTGACAAGGGGCAGGCTTGCTTTCTAATTACTGAGAGAGTTCAGCTGGTGTCTTGGCTTTCCATGCCTTTTTACACCTCCCTTTCTTCATATGTTCAATAATTTTTCCCTGTGCCATTCCACATTATTACAAATAACTTAATTTCTGGACATTTATGGTTTGATTTCTTTGTATGTATGGATCACTTGGGTTGTTACCGACATCTGGTGAAAATGTCATGTCATTAGCACCTCTAGTAATATATTTACTGAGAAAAATGGTGACGTGTTCAATACTTATTTTACCCGCTGTATATCACATGTGATAAAGTGCAGGCTGCACATATACAATGCTTAACTTTATGATCCCATAGATTTTCTAAACACTTGGGCAGAACTCAGTTTTTAAGTCTTGGGGGCTCCAAAAATGCTGTTCTTTGTGCTGTTGGAAGATCAGCTAACTTTAATGTTTAAGTATCTCTTGTTTTGCTTGTATTTGTGTCACAAAATCGAATAGAGTTTTCCTCACAATGGAAGTGCGTGGGATGATTTGGGAGCTAGATAAAATAAAGTTCATATACACGTCTTGACCAAATGTATAAAAAAGATTAAATTACCTACTTATTTGTGATGATTTAAAAACTAAAATGTCGCTGCCTGCTGTGCAGGTTGGACTGGTCAGCGGTGGTTGTTGATGAGGCCCACAAGATAAAAAATCCAAACTCTCAGATCACTCAGGCCATGAAGGAGCTGCGGTGTAAGGTGAGAGCTTTTGACTTTATCTTGTTGTTTCAGAATAATCTTCAGAGTTTTTAACTAATAGTGACAAATGCTAATGGCATTAGAAGTGTTAAATAAAAGCATTCGTTTGTCAAAAAGGTTTGAGCCAAAATTGATATTTTGGAAAAACWTGTAGATAATAACTGATTGTTAGTTTTTTCTGTTTAACTGAAGTTGTTGGTCCTCGTGCTTTTGTTTCTGTTAGGTCCGAATTGGTCTCACTGGCACCATCTTACAGAACAACCTTGAAGAGCTGTGGTGTGTCATGGACTGGTGGGTTTTATTTTATAAAAGGAGCAGTCTTAAGCCACCTCTCATATCTTTGTATTTTTGCGTCAGGTTTTCTCGCAGTATTCAAATACAACAGTGCTCCAGGCTTTCTAAAAGTTTTCTTTTTGTGTTCTCTTAAACATTTTTAAGAGTACTGGTCAAGTGGAGGGCTGTGGTGTGGTTAGTGCTATGCCTCGCAGGAGCGTCTCCAGTTTGGAGACCAAAAGAACAAGATGTAAACAAACGAATATGTACGTAAATATAAACAAATGTATTATTTTAGGGCCATACCGGGTTGTCTCGGGAGCTTGGGACACTTCAAGAACAAGTTCTCAGATCCCATAGAACAAGGGCAGCGACACAGTGCAACCAAACGTGCCCTGGCTACAGCGAGGAAGACTGTCCGAGCTCTGGTGATGAAGATTTCTCGTTTGTTCTTGAGGAGAACCAAAGCCCTCATCAAAGAGCAACTACCAAAAAAGAATGACAGGGTAAGTTGTGATATGTTAAAGTTTCTCAGAATTAATGTCCGCAGTCTTTTCTCCTTTCTCAGGAAACGTAGATTTGCTTTCCTCCAGCTTGTCATAATATTGAGGAGAGTTTTTCCTGATGTGTTGTGTTCCAGGTGGTGTACTGTTCTCTGACAGACTTTCAGCAGACGGTGTATCGGGCAGTGCTGGACACTGACGATGTGACGTTGCTGCTGAGATCTTCAGAGAAATGTGACTGCCAAAGCGGACGCACCCGCAGAAGCTGCTGCTATGATGTTAGTTCTTGTTTGTTACCATTATGAGATTCTGTATTCTCAAGATGGTCTGTTGTGTCTGTTTTATACTAAATTGTCTACAGTGTCATTTTATTCATCAGTAAAGCCTGCTAGAAATATTTGATACTCAGTTTTCTAAATCAAGAAAAAAACAAAGGTTTCCTTTTGCTCAAGTCTCTATTTTATAGCATATGGCATAATATCAAATAATGCAAATTTTCTCTCTTTATTTTTTAGAAAAACTCTGAAGGTGTTTCAACAAAGGAGCTCTACTTTAGTTACCTGGCTATATTGAGGAAAGTTGCTAACCACGCAGCTCTCCTTCAGTCTAATCCAGGTACCAGTAAAAAACAGGTAAAGTTATAGGATTTTTTTATTTAAATATTCATATTAATAATTGGAACTGTCTTGAAGGCATTTATATGAAGAATGCATTGATTTGAAAGTATTTATTTGTTATTTTGTAGGAAAAATACGTGAATTCCGTTTGCACAAAGGTTTTTCAGAAGTTTCCAGAGTTTGTATGGAGATGCAAAAATGAAGCATTTGAGGCTCTGTCGGATCCAATGTACAGTGGGAAAATGAAGGTAAAACATTGATTTAGGACTTTTTTTGTATGCTCTTCTAAATGTATTTCAGTACTGGATGACACTTTTTCTTTTAGGTTTTGCAGAAGCTGCTGAAATATTATCTACAAAAGAGAGATAAAGTGCTGATCTTTTCATTTTCGACCAAGGTGAGAACTGCACTTGTATTATGTATTYCATATTACACTCTGTGGGAATTTGTTAAACAAATTCACAAAAAAGTWGAGTTGATCAGTAATAAAACTTACTTTTTATAAGAGTTTCTTGGGTGGGAATCTGTAGCTGCTAAGGGCTTCTAGTCAAATGCACCTGATTAAATGTCATTAATAAATGTAAASATGTCTGTAAGAGCAGTGGGAAACATTACACAATGTCAAGGAGAAGAGACATTAACAGCTATCTGAAGGAAGCAGCTGTTATTGCATGTCAGAAGGGTTATAAAGCCATTCCCAAACAATTTTAAGTCAATCAATTCTACAGTGAGAGAAAAAAAAATGATTCATGAGTAGAAAACATTCAAGACAGTTGCCAATTTTTCCAACAGTGGACCCCACAGCAAGTTCACTGAAAGGTCAGATCATTCAGTGCTCAGAAATATGGCAAAATGCCTAAAGGCTACGTTTAGCTTTAAAATGGATTTTTGGACGTTGATCCCAAGTTCAGAATCAAATCTACAGCACATCAGTAACATGAAGCATCAGATGGAGAGRGGGGTGAAGTTCTTCCTCAGCAAAATGAGAAACTAAGAAGCCAACAATGACAAAGGTTAAATATGTTAGTAGTGCGTCCTCAACACACTGATTCCACATTTAMTTTTTTAGTTACATTTTTTAATATATCCTGTTTTTGTGCTCTTTATTCTTGATTGAAGATCTGATAGTAACAACCTGTATTTTAAWAATTTTTCTTGAAATCTAAGACCTTTTCAAAATACTAATTAAATTGAGAATTACTATCTTTTGCTATAAGTGTATGTCAGATCTGGTGGAGCTGCTGGGTTTAATGTTTATGTGTAGGACAGTGAATCGCTACTCACAATCTAAAATATATATATATCTTTTTTCAGATTTAAATTTTGGAACATGCTTTGTATTGAAACTCTTACACCTAGTCACATCTGTTSAAATCTGATTAATTCAGCTTCCCCCTTTAAAGACTAGCATTGTTCCAAAGTACCTCTGCTATTAKCTGGTTGAAAGAATAAAAATAGTTATAGGAGTCATGGTTTTCTCATGATGTACTGTACATTTATAGGCTTACCTCTGGGGTTTTGGCAGGGCAATTAGACCGTTAAAGATAATTAGTTTCTGCAAAACCCCATGGTTGCCGTCACCTGATATCATGCAATAATATTTGTGGCTGCTCTGAGGTCGTATTTTTATGACCTGTGTTTTGCTTTTTTGAGATTAAAAAGTTCATAAAGGGTCCAGCTTAAATTACCCTATAGAATATGTAAAAATATACAGCCTGAGAGCTGAAAATAATCCCGTGAATATTGTTTTACACAAGATACGTTTGTTTAGAGCCTTCGTTTGAACTTAGTCGATCTCTTGAAGTTTTTAATAAGTGCTTTCAGATAAATGAAACTTATATTATWGTTTTTATTTTCCATCAGCTGTTAGATGTTTTGGAGAGCTACTGCATGGCGGAGGGACTGGATTTTAGCCGGTTGGATGGATCCACCAAATCCAAAGAAAGAGTCCAGATTGTCAAAGACTTCAACAGCTCGTCTCACATCAACCTCTGCCTCGTTTCCACCATGTTAGTTGGAAATATTAAGAATTCAAAGTTTCTTCTTAAAGCAACAGAAATTTAWATTTTTTTATCCTTTCAAAACTGTAAATTGTACTTTTGCTATAAAAAAAAAAGAAAGAAAAAAAAGGTGGTTTTTAGAATTTGGTCAAATTAAACCTATAAAAAATATTTCTTCTATCAGGGCAGGTGGTCTTGGTCTTAACTTTGTAGGTGCTAATGTAGTGGTGCTGTTTGACCCCACCTGGAATCCAGCCAATGATCTTCAGGCTATTGACAGGTATGCAATAAAGATTTGAGTTTATACATTAAATATTCATTTCTGCTTAATTTCAAACCAAGACATTGTTTTTTTTTTGTTGTTTTTTGTATTGTTGCATCACATAAAGTCGTCCCGTGTGTCTTTATTTTTGTGCGTTTATGTCCTTCCAGAGCGTATCGCATTGGCCAGTGCAGGGATGTAACTGTCTTTCGTCTGATCTCCCTGGGAACTGTAGAGGAGATCATCTACCTCAGACAAGTTTACAAACAGGTACCAGTCCGTTATGAGCAAAAATTTATGATTTATTGTCATTTTTTTGTAGCTTATTTAAATATCACATTAATGTGCTCGAAACCTACTAACCAGAATCTGACATTATAACTGAAACAATTGGATTAAACAAAATCACTCAACTATAAAAGTTACCAAAATGACAACATGATTAAATACAAATCCTCTTCTGAAATAATCAGAATACAGTAAAATAATGTATTTGGAAATGAAGACAGATAGCATTTTATTAATGATTAAAAATGTATATATTTTTTCCCATCAGCAACTGCAGTGCTCTGTTGTTGAAAAGGAGAGCGCTCGGCGGTATTTTGAGGCGGTGCAGGGAAATGGTGTCTACAAAGGGGAACTGTTTGGGATCAAAAATCTGTTCAGGCTGCAGACTGAAGGAACGTGTCTGACCCGSAGGATTCTGGAGGTTAGATATCCAACTGGTCTTCTATGTCTTACTGAGAATGGGCTTGATTGCGTCATACAGGCTTAATTTGTCCAATAAGCACGTAAAATGAGTTTTACAAAATAATTATGTCTGTATCTTAACCAACAATGAATACAGTATATTCCYATAAAAACTGTTTAATGACTTGACTGAAAATCAAGGTTAAAAGCAACTGGGCAGACTGGTGAACTACGACCATGGGAGTTCAAACTGTCGAATGAAGAAGGTAGTTTATGAGGGGAAGTCTCACTTGTGCCTGTTTGCATTGAGGGAAATCAATCATTCATTTAAACAAGATGGCGGCGGTGGCGGCAGATGTATGTAGATGTGCAGTATCGCTGCAGGAAAATACATCCAATTTGGCTTTACAGG